TATTTATCAAATTAGCCGTTTTCCTGTTCAGATTTTACATCTAAACATTATGAAATACCCACATTTGACATAAAACCATGTAATTTTATATAATGAATATAACATATACTGATGATTTAAGTTTTATATAGAAAAAATTATAAATGTTTTTTTATAAAATAATATTACTTTTTAAAATATTCACATATTTAAACTCTGATCCATTTTAATTTTAAATATAATTGTTTATTATATATTGTCAAAATTGAGTTTCTCTATTACCGTGTAAGCCACACCAAATTGTCATATATTATTTATTTATGTGTCTACGTGCTATTATGCCAACTTTAGTATTGAAAAAAATAGTTGAAACTTGTGATTTAACTTCGATCCATGATGTCTTTAAAATTGAAATTTTAAATGAGTTAATTTTGAATCTTACTTACTAAGAATTTTATTCACTCTCGTTAAATGTGTAATAAGCAAAGTTGGTTACTCACCTAATTTTCTTTTTTGTGTTTACTATGTTTAAGAGAATTTTGAATTGTATATTTTGATAGAAATTTAAATTAGAAAAAAATTTGATAATATTTTTTGGAATCGAAAAGAAAAAGAACTTGTAATTAAGCGAGTTAGTGAATCAACTCGTTTAACCAACTCGTGGTGAGTCAAGTTAGGTTCAAATATTTTCGGCTTGCTAATAAATAAGACGAGTTGGGTTGACTCATTAAGTGATAAATCTATAGCAGACCAGACTGGGTGACCCGTTTTAACAGCACTAATAGAGATCACTCATTTCTAAGAAACAATGAACTGCAACTCGAGAGGACGATGAATGAGGTTGAGAGGTTGTAGTTTAAAGAGAGGATATGAAGATGAAGAGGGCACTGAGTGTGGCCAACATAATTATAACACAAAAATGTGATGACTTTTGTTATGGAAGAGGTTAAAGGTGTTTATGTAATATTGATCCAATATTTGAAATACTTTTGAAAGTAAAGAATGTAAAGAGTACTTGAGAAAAATTAAATGTATTGATATAAGTTAATAAAAATAATACATCTTGAAAAGTCTAACATCATTTAGGGTAGCTATATAATAAATTCTAAGTGTATATATAGTTTTAATTGTTCTAAGTTAAAGATACTGTAAGTTTTTGTTTTTTGTTTATTTCTTTTAAAAATTCTTGTAGTAGAGTTTTTTGAGTATAAGTTAAATTATTGCTTTGTCTTTTGTCATGACAAAAAATAGCAATCAACCTCAAAGAAAACATAAACTCAATGAAAAATGAAAAGAAAAAAGAAAAAATTGAATAAGTAAGAAAAAAGAATCACTCACCAATGTTCTAGTGCAGTAGCGATGACGGAGAATGAAGGTGATAAAGAAATGAAGTTCAGTAATGAGAGGTCTTCAAGAACTCTTGTTCGGGGCATAGCAAAAAGTGGGGACATGGGGTTCAATGGTCGAGGAAGATTGTTCAGTGGTGGAAGAAAAAAAAAAGAAAGTTCTTGACTTTGTAAAGACGAAGAGATGACCAATAATGCTGTAGGAACAACATTCATAGTGGAAGAGGGCAAGATAACGATAATTACTACAGCGGAATAATAAAACAAAGACTTCACATCTTTCTAAATTTTGTGAAAATTAATCCTAAGCCACATTTTAGATTTCAGTTATTAATAAAATTGAAACTTATATTATTAAAAAATGAGTTTAAGTCTAATTCAATTTCACATATTTCCATTCATTTATATATTATAATTCAATTATATAAATAATCGAAACCTAAACTTAATACTAAAATAAAATACTTTAAATTGGGTGGCATTTTTAAATTATTAGAAACATTTAAGCTTAAGCTTTCTATATTCCTATTTAGTCTTTTGTTTTAAAGAGAATAGAAGCCTAAACATTCAAAATAATTTAAAAAATTGTCATTGTATATTTATAAAGTTTACTTTTTAAAAAACAAAAATCCAAAACATATTGAAAATGAAGTTAAATGATTTTTTTTTTGCACTAATCCTTGTAATTTTTGTGCAAACTTTACCTAAACTCAATAGATAAAAGATTTTATTTCAAATTTCATCAATTGAAAAACGGGTATGTTACTCCTATACTGTTGGACTGCTCTTTCTTCTTGTAAAATAAAATTTAGTATACTTTTACATTTTCAGTACAATGTTTATCTTATTCAATATTTCAATTCTTTTACATAAATTAGGATAGTATATCTCTATATTTTTAAAAAGTAATAAAAAAATTGTCTGTTTAGAAAAATTTTAAGAAAACACGTATATAATAAGAAAACGAATGATAAACATATAAAATTATTTATAAATTAAAATTAATTATCGTAAGAACCTGAAAATAAATTAGAAAGTTAATGGGATAATTAATTTAAATAAAATCAGAACTCTTTCATTTAAAAACACATTTTCGGACCCATTGTGGTTCATTAACCCAACCCCATTCTCTCTCTAAGAAAAAAACTCAGTTCTTATTTTTCTCTGTCTTCTCTCTACAACCTCTCCTCCTTCTCTCTTCAACCTCTTTACATTGAACCAGTGGATTTTTGTTTAGGTGGTGTTCAAACGTTTGCGACGTAGAAGGCTTCAAAACCATCCGATTGGTTTTGGGTTCTAAGCTGGTAAGTCCCTCCATGCAACCTCATCTCTGTCTTTGAACTAACACATGCAATCTCTGTTAGTTGCATGTGTCTTGTGCTTTCATTTCTCCAATTTTTTCCACTCCATTTTAGCTCTAAGAGTTGTTTTCTACCATCAATGTGGTAGTTTGTAGGGTTTGGTCGGGTCCTTGTTGTGTGAGGCACTGTTAGGGCATTCTAGTGAGTTGTACTGTTCAACTCCAAGGTAAGGGGAGCTAGAATACTTATTTAAATTGCTTGCATGAAGTGTATGTATATTGGATTCTGAATTGGTGCACTATTTGGAGTTGTATTTTGCGTTTTGAGTATGTTGTATTGTATGTGTTGATATGTGAAATCCATGAAACTGTGTTGAGCTGTTTGGAATTGATTTGGATGAGTTTGAATTGCTATAATTGACCAATTGGAAGTGATTTAAGTGTGAAATCTGGTATATTTTTGGATGAATAGAAATTTGAAGTTTTGTGGTTTTTAGGTCACTTTGAAAGGAAATGAGGTAGTAATTTTGGGCATTTGGGGTCTAAAGCGCAACTGGGATGTTGGGGCAGTCTTAACCACTGTAATGTGACTTGTTTGAGTCACTAAATTGATCAAACTAGGTGCAAAGTCGTGGGATTGGGTTTTGGGTCCCTAAGTTGGGGAAAATTGGTGTTTTAGAGTTAAAATTGACTTTTAATCACTTTAGAATGGTAGTAGGAATGTTTAGAATCATTTAGATAAGTTTAATTAAGTATAAAACAAGAATTAAGGGTGTTAGAAGTTAATAAAAATGGTTAGAAATGGTCATGTTGGGTTATATTCGCAATTATGCAGAATTCTGCAGAATTATGCAGAACGCTGCAGTTGACCGTTCGCTCTTGTGCTGCTCTCGATCATAACTGGGTTGGTCTCTTTTGAGTCTTACCAGTTCATGAGCATTCGGTCTCTTAAGTAGCGTTCGGTCTCTCAAGTAGCGTTCGGTCTCTCAGGTAGCGTTCGGTCTCTCAGGTAGCGTTTGGTCTTAGGTAGCGTTCGGTCTTGATAGTGCTCGGTCTTAGGTAGCGTTCGGTCTCTCTTAGTGAGCGGTCCTAAATAGTGTTCGGCCACTTCTTCAGTCTTACCTTTTATGGACCGTTCAGTCTTGTCCTTTGGGAGGTGAGATACCGTTCGGTCTCTACCATTCACAGGGTGTTCGGTCTTGCTCATTATGTGTTGATGTTTTCCGTTCGGCCTATATTCCTATTTATTCCAGTATGCTATTTTACTTAATTGTTCCAGTTGCTTTAAGGGCTTATGTGTGCATTATCATGTTGGTGTTAAAGTGGAAAGTATTAGTATTGGACGTAATTCCATGATCCTCAAGAGGGGATACATGGTGGTGCTCTTTCAGTGTGTTTAGAATGATTTGCATGGTAGCTCAGTCTTGGGGGTTTTCCTGACGCTCCAATGGTCTTTCATTCTCAAGTAGAGAGGATTGATCCATATGGTGAGGAGTAGCAAGAGGTCCTAGTCTTTAGTGCTTCCAGTATGGCCCAAGGTGAGTGATAACGTACTAACCTCGTGAGTGTGGTAGGGTGAAACCAATTGGCAATGGCTTTGCAAAGCAGTAGAGGCCACCATGAGTGCATAACCCGCCATAGCTCGGCAATCATTCTAAGTCCGAACGAGTCAAGTTTAAGTGCAACAAGTCATGTTTGTGTAGTGTAGTGTATCTGTCTTTACTTGCATGTTGCATGTGACTGCTATAACATGATTTTTATATCTAGCTCACCCTTGCTTGTGTGTTTGTGTTTGCTTGGGTATGTTTTTCTTCTGCAATGATCATCCACTTGGATGTGAGCAGAGATGAATAAGGTGCCTCTGAAGCAGGCTTTGGAGGAAGATGATGTTGCTGTCTAGTCTCCTTAGGATTCTATTAATTATTTCTTGTATTTTGAAATACTCTAGTATGTTAAGTAGGAAGTTTTTAAATTATGACTGATTTTGGAATGACTGTAAGGTTAACAACTTTATTTACAGTGTACTCTCAGTGTTCTCTTTTATTATAAATGTAGACTTAGTATATTATATGCTACTATATAATCTGGGATGTTACAATTATAAATCCATTAAAAAAATATTTCTTTAACAAATAACATGAAAATATGAGATAGTATGTAAATTAAGTTATGCTTTAGTAATTTGTTATGAGAATATTTAATTTATTTCTTTGAAAGTGTTTTGGAACAGAAATGTAAAAATGTAAACGAAATATGAAAAAGAAGAATTATGCAATAAGTAATTACATAATAAAAATTAATACCCCACCTTATCCGCACAAATGTTTTTCGTTGCTTTTTCTCCGTGGCGTCTTGGTGTGTGCAATAAACTCGTTGTTCACGTCTGAGGGAGAAATAGAGAGCGATGTAAGGGTTATAAAAAGACTAGGAGAAGGAGAGATCGGAATTTACAAGTCTCAGTGCTTCCATGCTAGCATTGCATCACCATTACCATTACCATACATAGAGTGGTCCTCAACTCAACCTCACTCTTTTCCCTTAAATAATCCCTCCCTCTCTAATTCCCTAATCCCTAATCTTAACCCCTTTCTCTTCCCTTAATCACTCACCTCCCCGTGCACTGCAGATGCAAGAAGCTGGGCTGGCAATGAATATGCTCAGCGCAGAAGTCTCAGCCGCCGCCGCCGACCACCACCACCGTCAACTGAAGGCAGACATAGCCACCCATCCACTTTACGAACAGCTTCTCTCTGCACACGTCTCATGCCTCCGCGTCGCTACACCCATCGACCAGTTGCCACTCATCGACGCTCAGTTATCACACTTCAACAATCTCCTCCGCTCTTACGCCTCACACCATTCCCATTCCCATTCCCATGATCGACAAGAGCTCGACAACTTCATGGTACATCTTTTCTTTTTCCTTTCTCAACAATGTTTTTAAATTTGAGAGAATTTTTATTTTAAGACGTTCTAAGATTAATAAGTATTTGAATAGATTTAACTCTTAATTAGTGCAGACACAGTATTTGATCGTGTTATGTGCGTTAAAAGAGCAGCTTCAGCAACATGTTCGGGTGCATGCCGTGGAGGCTGTGATGGCCTGCCGTGATATTGAAAGCACCTTGCAAGCTCTGACAGGTACTCATCACTCTCCTCTTCAATTTAATTTATTCCTATTCTGATTCTGTTGGCTTTAATTATGCCAACAAGGGAAAGGGGATCACTTCATTTAGGTATAACAATATCAGTGGTGTATTAGTTAATTAATTAATTAAAGGAAATAAAAATGGTTTGGTATGTAGAGTATATTAGTGGTGTGAGATTTGAGAGAAAGGAAAAAGATGCATTGTGATAGCATCAACCCGTATGTGTTCTGTGGGTATTTTACGTTAAGGGGAATGGAAGTGGTTGTTATAGCTAAGTTTCTGTAGAGAACTATACACGCCAAATAAGAATAGGATTAGAAAGAGTGGGTTAGTTTGGTGGAGGGTGGTAATCTCGCCCACCCTGCCATTCCCAACAACCTAACACAACTATAAAGTAATGAGAGAAAATACTAATTCAAAACTTTATTTTTTAATTAATTCAAACCCTCAAAATAATCTATGATTTTAGGTTAACAAAAATATATATTAAAAGGTTCAAAATATTTATTTTATTTTATTAATAAATTCTTTCTCCACAATTTACGTACTCATTCTTTCCTTTCTATAAAGTTACAAAATAATTTTCTCTATATATACATATATTATTCTTCTTCTTTTATTACTTTCATAATTCTGAATACTTTCCAAGTCACTGTCTGATGAAAAATGTGAAACGTATATTACTTGTATTTATTGTTATTATTTATTTTTAAATAATAAACAGTTCTTCCTGATTATAAATTATTCATAACCTCGTAATTGATATACGTTTAAGAATAATTACATTGATATCTCTTGTGTTTTGTTCTAATGATGATTTGTTCATATTATTTTTTAAAGAATTTAAAAAGAAAATGAGAAATATGAGGTTGGTAAATAAGTCAAGGAAAATTTAAATTTCTTAAACTACGTAAATATTCTCACGGCTTGCGATAACGTTTCAAAGAATAAAAAAAAAATCTCTATATTTTCTCTTCTTTCTCTCTCCCCTTTCTTTCTCTTTGTTTCTCTCATCTTTCTTTTAATGTATCCTAATCGTCCTTCATTTTTTTCCCCTTTATTTTCTTTCCATTTTTTCTCTCTGCCTCCTCTCAATTTCTTTCTTTTTCTCATCCGTTTTTCTTCTCCATATTTGTCAAAATTGTGTTAATATTTATGTTTTTGATTATTAACTACTGTGTAATATAAAAGTGAGATCATATTTATTTTTCAATTTTTTTAATTATATATATATATATATATATATATATATATATATATTTAACATTAAATTTTACACATAATGAAAATCAAATTATATTATCTTAATTAAAAAAACTAATAAATATGAATTGATTTGCCTAAGATAACATTAAGAGATTGAAGAGGGATTAAACAAGGAAATACATCTGACAAGCATTTCAAATTTTCTAAAATTTTAAATTTAACTTTTAGGTTTTGTGTGATTGTATAGACTTTATATGTGTTTTTAGCATCTACAACCACCTCTTATAAGGAAATACAATAGCAGAGTGTCAATTATCTTTTACTCGATAAGTTGTTGTAGATAACAAAGATTAAATACAAGTTTCCATTATATACTAATCGTCCTTACGGGTTTCAGAGTGTTTATTACTACGTTAATCTATTCGATTCAACATAATAAGAGTTTGTGTAATTTCTTGAAATTTCAAGAAATATTAATGTGATTATTTTAAGTTTAATTTATACAAATTTTTAAAAAATGATTTTTTTTTCTAATAAAGATATAGGTCATAATAAACAAAAGCTCCACAAAGACAGAAGAAAGTGATAAATTAGAATAGAGTTAAGAATCAAATATGACTTTGATTCCTAAAGTTTTGTTTTTTTTTTTTACATCTAGAAAAGAGTCCAATAAAAGTATTACTCATAAACAAATATAGAACAAATCAAACGTATCATTGCGATTAAAGTTCTAAGAAGTTAAAAAGACAATTTTTAAAAATATATAAATTAGTTTAAATTTATTAAAGTAGCTTAATTTGTTTAAGAAGTTTGGTGGGAATATATCCAATTTAGATTAAGATTAGGATATTCCAAATTACACATTCATCCATGTTATACCATATGCCATATGACACTAAATAAAGTTATTACTTGTATGTGTACATAAGTAGAAGAAAAACAAATTAAGGTCTGAATTTAAGAATATTAATTTAAACTAATTTTGAAGAACGTCGTGCTGAAAGGATCTAAGTCTCCAAGACAACTGTAATTTGAAATTCAATAGTGGTGGTTACAAGAAGTGTGTGACCAAACATGCTGAAAACTTTGTATTTGATAAGGTGGTAGTTGTAGTGGAGCATCAGGAAATTAGTAATAAGGAAAAAAGAAGATATAAGAGAATATGAGAAGATGTTGGAGTAAGGAAAGATAGAAAAGGAATAGACTGAAAATTATTGTAACGCGTAAAAAAAAATAGTATACTAGTCAATAATGTACATAAAATAATACATAAATCCATCGTTTTCAATATTATATAATATATATATATATATATATATATATATATATATATATATATAATAAAAATAATGATAT